CTGGGTGGACTGATGTTGTTTTGAATACAACTTTGGATTTAGCGATTTACTCGGGTAAGTAAATTTAGATCTTTGCAGTGCATGAAGGGACTTGTCGTTGTCATCGTTAAATTCTTTCAACTCTCTTGCACTTGCTTCACTCGCACGACATATATCGATGGCTTTTAGTAAGGATAGGTCCGTTTCACGAAGTAATCTTGCTCGTACTTGATCACTTCTGATTCCTCCGACTACTGTCACGTATAAGACTATCAGTCAATGTACTAAATTCGAAATGTTTAGCTTTGTTTCTTAAATCGGTAGCAAAAGCATCGATTGTCTCAGTTGGTCCTTGTGATCGTGTGAAAAATTGATGCCGTAGAAACGTTAAATTCTTTCGTGGTTCACAGTACTGTTTGAATTTTAGTAAATGAAAGTAATCACCATACAAAGATTAACTTTCACGGGTCGTGAAAGTTAATCTTTGTGTGGTGATTACTTTCATTTACTAAAACCAGAGTAGCGATAAATACGATGGACTATATACCTGGTTGCCGTGAACTCATAAACTTCAATTCGTTGTTTGAATTTGTCTTTTAAGATATCGATTTTGTGTTCATCACCTTCCTTGGCCAAGTCGAAGGCGTTAAATACGGCACGAGCTTCTTCGCCGGCTACGTGTAGAAACGTGGCACACCATAGGAAGCCCAGACAAATGAGTTGGCCACTTGACTATACAACTAGTGACGTAACTTACTATATTATTAGGAAGGATGGAAACTCTCGCCTCAATTTTCAACATATTCACAAATTAAAACACAAATTACTATAGTAAAACGGCACGTCGGCTGCTAAATGCCTACGGTAGGTTTAAGTTGAATAATCAAACTATACTCTGGGATGTAAGTACCCACCCAAAATGGCTGCTGGCAAAAGAATCTGATTGGTCGATCACTCTTTGCTTACCTTTCTCGACCAATCAGATTCTTCCGCCGCCGCCATTTTAGGTAGGTACTTACATCCCGCATGTATTCACGAAAATTTCGGCAAATTTACAAAGTTTGTGTACGTTTTTTCAGCGCTTTCCTTTGAATTCAGCACTATTTTTATTATGAAAGTATAGTTTGATTATTCAACTTAAACCTACCGTAGGCATTTAGCAGCCGACGTGCCGTTTTACTATAGTAATTTGTGTTTTAATTTGTGAATATGTTGAAAATTGAGGCGAGAGTTTCCATCCTTCCCAATAATATAGTAAGTTACGTCACTAGTTGTATAGTTAAATGGCCAACTCATTTGTCTGCATGGGCTTCCTATGGGCACACTGGACTTTCTCGCTTTTCTCTGGACTTTCTCGCCAATTTCGCTCGCAATGAGAAAAAGTTCGAAGCTTTGAATCCACTTTCGCCAATTTTCTGCTAAGTTTCCTTCCAGGCATTCCAGGCAAAGTTCACCTGGAGGCTTTAATTGTTCCATTTTGTTAAAAAAATCCGACACCTGACACCATGTTATGTACTCGACATTCAGTGTTAAAAGATGTATATTTCATATCAGAAATCATTTATATACACATATAAATATTACGTCATTGAATAATAATTATTCCTAACTAATTATTCCAAAGTCTTAACACAGGGTAGCCATTTGTCTGCTTCAGCCCCTCTAAAATTTTCGGACTTTCAAACTTTGAACACAGTGCAGTTGTCGAGAAGAAATTTTGTGAAGTTTTAAGAAATTTAGCTGTTCTAAAATGTATAATGATAAAAATGTGCGCACGACTCGAGTCACTCAAAAGCATAGTCATTCGATTGCGAATGTCGCTGTTAATGCTATGAGTGTGGTTTATTGGAAAACGCGGACACCGGACAGCGGACACTTTTCAAAATTTACGATAAACATGAATTAAAACGTGTTAAAGTATGTCGTTTTATTCGTGGAATAATAACGACATCTATTTCTATTTATCCATACAAGAATTTATGTATTATCAACTTTCGAATGAATCTTCGCGAGTTCGCCGCGCTTTAAATAAAAAATATAGGAACACTACAGGCTTTTACATTTTATTTAAAGTGCCCGGGAACGGAGCTGCGTCTTGTATACAACAAACTTGTACGATCTATCTAAAATAAACAGTCGCTATTTTACTTTTACCAGAATACAACACTTTTAGGTTCACGTCCGAGCCAATTGTCTTTAACTCAACCATGAAGAGTTATCGTGCACGAAAGTATGGGGAATGAGAATTTTAATTTGCTAACAAAAGCGACGAGAAAGGTTTTTCGTCTATTCATAAATTATAGAGAACAATGCAATGGAACAATGAAACAATAGAATAAGGCAATTGACTCCTTTAGTTAGCTCAGGGTAAAACACTAACTAGTAAAACTTTTCGTTTAATTCCCGCGTTCTTTTTTTCAAAAAAATATTCAAGATTGATTACGGAATCATTTAAATTTGCATCCATGGAATTTTTAAAGAAAGATAAATCGTCATTTTCCATGTACTAGAACACCTGAATATATTATTGTCCAACATAAAATTCCTAAAAGACGACAAAGTACATACAAGCCTATTGTAAGCTATTGCACTTACAAAAGTGATCTGTCAGGCAGAACGAAATATATGTATATTAACCAACCCAAATACACATCAAATCAAAGCAGTGTATAAAATATTCTAATTTTCTCAAATATGTTTCGACCGGGGATCTCGGCAGTAATTGCTAACCGAGTAATGGAAGATGTCGAGCAAAGACCTTTAGCCTCTAGTCCGGTCAAACCTTTGTTTTGGAAACGATATGTTGACGATGTGGCCTCTGCGGTTAACAAAAATGAGATCGATAATTTGTTGAAACATTTGAATTCTATTGAGCCATCAATTCAATTCACTGTAGAGCGCGAGAGTGAGGGAAAGTTGGCTTTTTTGCATACTTATGTTCATAGAAATATCGAAGGGCAGTTAGAAATTGACGTTTACCGTAAACCTACACATACGGACAAATATCTATCCTTCTACTCACACCATCCAAAAAGTCATAAAATTCTGCTGCAAAAACTTTTGTTTCAAAGAGCTGAGGCGTTACCATCCAATCGCGTTGCTAGGGACAACGAGCGTGATTATGTCCTCAGTGTACTAAGAGAGAACAATTATCCACGAAACTTTTTAAACGATTGTTTAAAATCCCCTGTCTCAACTAGATGCAATTCCTCAGAGGGTGATTCCTCAAACACAGGTTTTGCTATAGTTCCATACATTCAGGGAATTGCAGAACCAATCAGGAGGATCCTGAATAATTGTGGTATGAAAGTTGCCTTAAAACCCTTTCAGACATTGGGACATATTTTCGCGAAACCCAAGGATCGCGTAGCGACTAAACAGAAAACTCATGCTGTATACTCTATACCATGTGGTGATTGCGAAAAAGAATATCTAGGTCAAACAAAACGCCAGTTCGGCACACGTTTAAAAGAACATCAAAAGGCCGTTTCGAACTTAGACAGTTCAAAATCAGCCTTGCCGGAACACGTGTGTCAAACTAACCATAACATTGGGTGGAACGATTCAAAAGTCATTACCACTAATGATCGTTATGGACAAAGGCGGTGTTTGGAAGCCTGGCATATTAATGCGAGTCTTTGTGCCCTTAATAGGGATGGCGGAAGCTATTTGCCAAAAGAATACTTACATCTGATTAATAGATACCTTAAATGTTTATGAAGAAAACTTTCACCTTAATAACGAAGTTAGCATTTTTCCCAGAAAAAACTGATCACTCGAGTATTGAAATTCAGAAAATATACTCTTAAGTCGAAATTCGTGTTGAAAGTAACCAATATTTTTCTCCAAGAAGGATATCGTGGTTATCCCAATATATATGGTGGGCACAGAATAGAAAGATCAAAATCGATAATACCAGAATGTTCCATCACTACTTGAAGGAGTTTATTTCACTCCCAGAGTATCAAAGGTTTGCCCAGGATGTAAAATTTTCGAAAGATAAACTCATTTGACGGCTTCAAGGATACTAGTATATTGTAAGAGTGATCCTGACTCAAACTTTCAAAGAAATATGATGGCGAGCATTCGAAAGGATCTCCACTCAGCGGATGCTCGTGCATTTGCTATTGCCTTGCCTTTTATATACTTTGAACAGTATGCTCATGTACTTAATGAAACCATCAAGAACTTGGTTGTTGCTGGAATTTCAATTATTTTGATATCCTGGCTGTTTATGAATCACTTTGTAGTAATATTTTGTCTTATATAAGGATTCGGTGCTCTTATATTTGAACTGTTTGGTCTAATGTACATCTGGAATTTCTCTTTGAACTCAATCTCTATGATTAATCTTGTTATGGCTTTGGGATTTTCTGTAGATTACAACGCACATGTCGCTTTCCACTTTGTTTCCTCCAAGGCAACAACTCCTGAACTCCGTGTCATCGATGCTCTAAGCAAAGTAGGCGGAAGTGTTTTTTTAGGTGGGCTTAGCACATTTCTTGGAATGATGCCAACGGGATTTACCTCCTCTATGGTATTTCAGACATTTTTCAAAATGTTGGTATCGTTTTTCTTGGTTTACTTCATGGTTTGGTTATACTACCTGTGTACCTGTCTCTACTCGGAAAGCTCTTTAATCTTCGTGGAAGTAACCTTGACTTGTCAATCATAAAGTGGTTCAACATTACAAAAAGATACAAATCTAGTAGAAATACAAGCCGAGGTTTATCTGGATTACACGCTAAAACCAAGCAATCCAATCCGATTGCCATTGTGGGAATGAGTTGTCGTTTTCCAGGTGGGGCAAACTCGAAAGATGCATTTTGGGATATGTTGGTGGAAGGTCGATGTAGTAGAGGCTCGTATCCAATGAACAGGCCAGACGCAAGGGAGTTCACAGATTCGTTTAACCCAGGGAAGCACACGCCAGGGAAGCATTACATCCTTACTGGCGCATTTCTTGAAATATTACAGGATTCGATGCTCAGTTTTTTAAAATTTCTCCAAGCGAAAGCCGTTCAATGGATCCCCAACAGCGAATACTTCTTCAAGTTGTCTTTGAAGCGATTGAAGACGCCGGTATACCGCTTGAGGACTTACAACAATGTCGAACTGGCGTTTATGTCGGATCTATGTGCGCGGAATATAGTGTACTTGTTTTTGATCCTTCGAATATTAGAAAGATTGATCAGTTCTCGTCAACTGGCTGCTCTATGTCAGTTATAGCCAACCGGATCTCTTTTTCGCTCAACCTAACTGGCCCTAGCATCGCGTTGGATACAGTTTGTTCCTCATCTTTGGTTGCTTTGCACATTGCATTTCAACACTTACAAACTGGCGAGTGTGACGCGGCCATAATTTGCGCCCCTAATATAATTCTTATTGGAAACCAATTTCACACGGCATGCTGCAGAACTGGGCTGCTGGCCCAAGATGGTCGTTGCAAATGTTTTGATATCAAAGGTGACGGCTATGGGAGAGGTGAAGGTGTAGCTGCGATCGTGATAAAACCAACCCAAACAGCCTTAGAGGATAGAGATATTTATGCAGAGGTCGTGGCTTGCGGAACAAATAATGATGGCCAAACCGCCATTCCAATGACAGCCCCTAGTGAGGTAGCACAAGCCACTCTTTTTAGGAGAGTTCTTCAAGAATCACATCTGACCAAGGACGATATAACGTACGTGGAAGCACATGGCACCGGTACAGCCGTTGGAGATGTCGTCGAAATAGGATCACTTTCAACAGTCTATGGCAATAGTGGTAAACGATTACTTCGTGTAGGATCAGTGAAATCAAACGTAAACCATACGGAGTCAACAGCAGGTTTAGCTGGACTAATCAAGACATGTCTGATGATAAAACATGCTCATTTGTTCCTACTATTAATATTCAACAAGTTAAACCACAGCTCATTGTCTCAGAGAAAAATGGTTGTTCAAGTTTCCAATGAGCCTTGGAAAACCGAGGGTGATAAGCCGAGAACCGCCGCGGTATCTTCGTATGGATTCGGTGGTGCAAATGCTCATGCAATCATTAGGGAAGTAACAGCGAGGCCAACAACTATAATCCCAAGCAGAATTCATCCAACAGAGTTCTAACATTGTCGGCAGCGTCGAAAGAATCATTGAGAGCAATGGCTAGAAAAGTGTCTTTATCGCTAAAGATAAAGCCTGATGACGACGAACTTCTTAAAGATAATATTTGTTATTCCTTCAACGAAAGGTACACAATTCAACTCCATCGCTTGGCGATTAGCTTCTATCATTTCAAGATGCAGCAAAGGCATTGGATATGTTCTCTGATCAGGAGAATGGATGGGAAGAATTGGTGGCTACAGGGGTCGTCGCTAAGCCGCGTCGTGAAGCCGTATTCCTCTATGGTGGTCAAGGTGCACAGTGGTATGGTATGGCGAGAGAAATGCTAGTTCACGAGCCAAAATTCAAGCAAAGCATTGAAAAAATTGACGCACTCCTTAAACAATACCATGCCCCCTGGTCCTTGATTTCTGAGCTAAGAAACCTGAAGAAACGTCGCGAATTCATGAAAACCCAATTGGACAGACTGCTCTGTTCGCCATACATTTTGCTTTAACCAAGCTGCTAAAATCATGGGGTGTTTCACCGTCCGCAGTTATTGGTCATAGTCTTGGAGAAATATCTGCAGCCTGGGCATCTGGAGCATTAAATTTGAATAAAGCTTTGCAGTTGGTTTTGTTTCGCTCTCAACTTCACGAGAAATGTTCACCAACAGGTTGTATGGCTGCCATTGGGATGACAGAAGAGGAAGCTCGACATATGCTGCAAGATCTTCAACTGACAAATGAGATCGACGTTGCCGCCGTGAATAGCCCAGGTAATGTTGTGTTATCTGGTAGCCAAAGGTCAATGCAGCTGGTGGAAAACCATGTGTCCAGGGAAAGAAGAAATCTTTTGTGGAAGAAACTCACTACGACCCGAGCATACCATAGTAGAGAAATGGATGAAATAAAGCAAGCATTCCTTAATCTCACAAAGGAATTCAAAGTTTGTGAAACTTCAAGCCATTTGCCATTTTATTCAACTGTTACCGGCACCAAGTTGCCTGGTAGTCTCTTATCACTTGACCATTGGTGGCGTAACATCCGACAAGCGGTTTTACTGGAGCCCGTATTAAAAAAGATGTTTTCGGATGGTCACCGGTTCTTCATTGAAATAAACGCAGTACCTCAGCTTTCATACCATGTTCGTCAGACTTGGTCTCACAATCATCCATCAGATTCTCTACGTTCAAACGACGTCGTTGTAGTTCAAACTCTCCCAAAACAATCAGTTAAAAGCCAGCACTTATCATTTCTTCAAAATTGCGTGGCTAGTCTCTTCGTAAATGGTGTGCCCTTATCATGGAACAAAGTGCAAGGCTCTGGATCGAAAACATTTTTCCCCCGTCCAACATATCCTTGGCAAGAGACAAAGTATTGGTACCGAAGCGCGTCCACCAGAATGTGTTACATTTTACGATGAGCACAACACTAATGAAGAAAATAAGGAAATCAACACATTCCATCCTCTTCTTGGTAAAGCAGTGCCGACGGAAACGTTCAGTGGTTTGCAGGCTTGGGAATCTGAAATCAATTTGCACGATGTTTCATATCTCCAGGATCACAAATTTTCTCAATCTTCAAACCCCTTGATACCTGCCGCTGTTTATATAGAGATGGTGTTTGCCATGTCTTTGCACTTGTCTCCACGGGCAGCACCAGATGTTCGTAACATCATTTCGATAGTCTATGTCTATATCCGAGAATGATTCGCACAAGATAAGAACACGTCTTCTACCTGAAAAATCCCTTGGTGAAAATAAATCATTTCAGATCACTGCAGTGGAAAGGGACGAGAGAGAACTAATGTCTCTCAAGGCTCCATTCAGCTTGGTATTGATGACAGATATGGATCGAAAGGTAATATTTTATTAAAAGATTTATAGCTATATAACTTTTTTTATAGATATATAACACTACCTTGTTTTTGTTATTAAACAATTACTTGATAGCTTCCTGTGTTTGGATGGCCTGATCGATTGGGAATGTTGTTTGAGCTAAGAAAAGCTCGCAAAATTGCTCGCCTTCGGCCACGGTTTCGCGCGTTATCTCAACTCTCGTAACGTTCGCTTTTTATGTTTTGCTTGTCAACTTGCAACTCAATTAAACAAAAGAAAACTGATTTGCCATTTCCAATTTGACATCATGCACGTCCGGTTAATATAAAGGCTAATAAATCCAAGAATTATAATGTGAATAACAAACTCTGATTGCAAAGTTTTTTAAAATACCTTAAACTTTTGCTGTATTTAAATACCGCAACCATGTTATAGGCACTTAAATGCATGCAGTCATATAATCCTTCCTGTAGTGGTAGTCATTATAACGTCAAAGCTGATAATGATGTGTTACGATTTTTAATGCAGTTGACGTGCTCGAGTCGTATATGACTGATATGGCTATCAGCCATGTACAACGAGAGCGAGTGGTATAATTGTTTTATAATATAGCTATATAATTTTATAACTACCATTTTATGAGCGAAAAGACATTGCATAAAAATATAACTATACATCGATGGCAATTGATTTAATTTCAGTCAATCTTTCGCTGAATGATTTCGCTGAATGAAGCTTTTCGCTTTTTGTCAGTTCTATTTACCACTAAATATTTTTATCTCATATTTTTTGATTTGTTTTAAATATCTGGGAACTGAACATTCAAAAAGTGTTTTTATTTCCTCTTGATCTCTCTCAAGCAAAACTATCGGCCATTTTGTTTTGCTACTCATCGATTATGAGCTGTGAAGCCGGTATACGGCGTATTTGAAATAGTTTAAAACATTCCCGTTTTCTCATATCTAAACTCTTAGCTGCGCCTCGCGGTTTAAATATCAACGCTCTCTCTCGTGTTTTAATTACTAAATAATGGCAGCTATTATTATTATAACTTCTGGGTTGCACCTAAACGACGACACAATCACTACAAGGCTTCGTGTTCAGGTAGAAAGCGTAGTGCTTATCTTCATTTAGCCTAACGCTTATTCAAATCTGTTTTATTTTAGAAGCCTCCCAAAGTAAATATCTACGATATTGAAATTCTTAAACTTCAATGGAAGAATGGTCAAGGGCAGATTTTCTTAAAGCTCGTGAGACTGCGGGATTCGCATTCGGTCCTCAGTTTGATTTGATAGTGAGAGCGTGGTCCAGTGGCAACGAAGCCCTCTCTCTCATATGCCCGACTGAAGAAATCGTTAATACAGAAGAATATGTCTTGCATCCTTCGGTGATTGATGCATGTTTACAGACAACCATTCTGTTGGACATCAAATCTGTTGTTAAAGCTGTACCAAAGGAGATTAAGCGCATCAACATTTTGAGAAAGGCAACGTACACGCAGCAGTTTTATGCTTACGCAAAGATCGTAGAATCAGAAAAAGGAAAGGCGTTTAACATTTTCCTTTTGGATCAGTGTGCCCGTGCTTTGATGATTATTGACCAGTTTAGCATAGAAGAAATACTGTCAGATCGAGAGGAAGTGAAATTTGATAACGCAGTGTTCACATTTGGTTGGCAGCAGTTAGAGTCTGGTTCTTCAAAAGTTCGTGAGCATTATGTTTGGCTGATTCTGAGAGACCAAAGTAAGTTTGCTGAACGATTTGCACAGCATGTCCCGCAAAGCGGAAGTGTTGATTTTGTTGACAAACGAGATACCTCAGATGAATCTCGTGATGCATTTTCCCGATCGCTAGATAAAGTATTGGCTAAAATAGAAGCTAATCAAAAGATAATGGTGATCAATTTCTGGCCTGTGATGGAAGCAAATTCAATATGGATGCGCGCAACTTTGATGCTGCTCATAGCTCTGCGTTTGAGAGCTGTCTTTTGATTTCTCAAGAAATTTTAAACAGAGAGGGGTATCTCAAACAGATTCAGCTTGTGTTTGTCACTTCAGGCGTGATTTCAATTCCTCAACTAGAACGAAGTGGTGAAGATACGTTCCCATGGTCTGGAACTGTATTTGGATTTAGAAGAACCTTCTCAGAAGAAATCACAGTCCCCACTGCTTCTGTGATTGATTTGCCGGTCAATCCTAGCGATGAAGATTTTCATGCAATGGCACACGACATTGAAAAAACATTGCTAGAAGAAGAGATTGTATATAGGAATGGTGAACGGTATGTCAATCGTATTCAAAAATTTGATCCTGACGGGTCCAAATGTACGAGAAGCGAATCACCTTTGGAGGAAGATGGAGCACTAAAGCCTGTAAAGATGGCGAGTTGGTCAGGTCAGTGGTTTCTACAGAAAGGGTCGAAAGAACGGATTGGAGAAATTGAAGTCTACTATGCCTGTCCTATCCTTCATAAGAATTGGAAAGATCTTAAACCAAACGATCTTATTTCAATTGCTGGGAAAATGTGCAATGGACTGGAGGCAAACGATGATCCCTTTGTGTTTGGCATCTGTAAAATTGATAATCTTGGAAGTTATGTTGCTGCAGAGGAAACCTGCTTCACGGAGATAAAAGCCATTTTCACCCCTCAACAAGCTGTGTGCATTGGATTTCCATGGCAATGTCTTACTACATTCTTACAAATCTTCTTTGTGAAATAGAAGGTGATAAGAAAGTTCTTGTATATCATCAAAGTGAGGAAGTATGCTTCATTTTTGCTTGCGTTGCCCGTCTATTGGTATAAATGCTGTGTGTCTTGTTCACAGTCAGTCTAGTAAAGATCGATTTGGAGAGTTTTGGTTGTAAGTGAAAATGAAGTAGCGGAAGCTGAACCTAAGGATACTAGCTGTAAAGATTTTGATGCTGTTTGCCTTCTGAGTAGAAGCAGTGCTTATGTCACAGGTGAAATACTGAAACATCTTAAACCAGGAGCTAGTGTTATTACATGTACCCTCGACGGAGCTGAAATTATGATGCTTAATCCATGGATTTACGTGAAAGATGTCCACTTTATTTTGACTAGTTTACAAGACATTACTAAGAGTTCTACATTTTTCTAAGCTATTAGATTCGTGTTATTCAGTTTTGAAATCGAAAGGGCTTTGGGCAAGCTTCTAGATATAACTCAAAAAGCATCCAGCATTACGATGTTATGCAACGTGCGATGAATCCAATAACCGATGCCTACCTGAAGTTGAGCGAAAAGGGAACTTTGTTTAAACATAATTCTGTGAAGCCAGAGACTGTTCCTGGGCAGGTTGATTTCTATAATCTACCACTTGACATCAATGGTTTGAAAGATGATCGAACTTATCTTGTCATTGGCGGCGTTCGAGGTTTTGGGTTCCAAATCGCAAATGGATGGTTGAAATGGGGCAAAAACGTCGTGTGTACAGCGCGTTCACAACCAAGTGATGAAAAGATTTCGGAGGTTCAACAATTGGAGAAGAAAACTGGATCTCGTATCCTTCTACGTCAAGCAGACGTAACATCTTGGGAAGAAATGAATACAGTTAAAAACGAACTCGAAAGTCTACCTGATGTAGCTGGAATCGTTTTACCGCTATGGTATTGGCCGACCAGTTTCTCAAGAAAGCCGATTTAAAGACATGCAGAAATGTTGTAGGGACAAAGGTGAAAGGTAAGTCTTTTCATTGCATGGCAATTCACGCTATTGAATTGTACACTAGATCGACCATTTCACTTTTCAATACACGATCTCTGGTAGCGTTATTTCGACTTCTCCTAAACTCCCACAAGTGTTTCTATAACTATATAGAAACACAGGAAAAAAAGTTTCGTATTTCTTAATCTATAATATAACTCAATAAAAAGATTTTGTACAAATGTTATAATTGATTACAAATTCTCATTACATCGCTTCGTTTGTCAAGTTGGGCGGGAAAATTCCCGTGTATAGATAGAAACACGCTTCTCGACGAATCGGCACGCGCGTACTACAAATGCTATGTTATAATTCCATTTCTAATTAAAAAATGCAATCTTCCTTTTTTTCAATAGGGAGTGTAATCCTTCACCAACTCAGTCTTACGATGGATCTAGATTTCTTCATTATGTTTTCCTCAATATCCGGAGTTCTTGGTAATGTTGGCCAAGCATCTTACGCTGCAGCTAACACATTTTTAGACCAACTATATAAATCGTCGAAACAAGCTTGGCCTGCCTGCTTTGTCTATTAACTGGGGACCGATTAGTGGTGCTGGAGTACTGGAAAGAAATGCGGATATCACATCAGTCCTGGAAACATACGGATTTTTTCCTCTTCACTATACGCAAGGTATATTCAGGATAGCAAATTGAAATACATTCTTGCAAAACTCCTCGCAACTTCAAATCAAGAAAATAATCCCTTAAGCTAGCCAGATTATGAAATTACTCAGTAGACATTATTGCATTGCATGGCAGCCAATCTTTGGCACGAAAATGTTGTCATAACATTGAAGTAACATTGTATTGTTAATAAGTACACATAACTATTCGCCTATTTTGGCACTGATTTTTCAGGACTAAGCTTGCAAAACTTGTTTTTTCAGCAACTGAGGCGTCATTCTTAAAAATTTTAACGAAGCTCAAGTTTGCATATCTCCTGTGAATTGGCAAGTTTATCTTAGAAGTCATATTCTCCGAGGTTCCAATGGAAACGAAAGAAACGCTGCTAGCGTGGATAATGTTCATGACATTGGAGAGCCTAGCACTGCTACCGTTGGATTTGAGAATTCAAAATGTTCAAGATTTTATTAGGCGTTTGCTGAGTTCGTGGTCAGGTAGTGAGGCTCTGAAGTGGACTTAAACCTCGGCCTGTACAAGTTTGGAATCGATTCAATGCTGCAACAAACAGAAACATCGAATTGAAAACAACATTGGGGCTAAATTTGAGGTAAGCTTTTTCAGTAATTTTCTGTATATTTCTGTAATTAATCAACGAACCAGTAAAAATCCTTTAAAATGCTCAAAAGTGCATTTCTTTTCTCGTGTGTGAAACAATGCACTTATCAGTTATACGACGGAAAATTGCCATGGTTTGAAGTTGAATGGTAATAACATGCAGCTTCGTACATGCACTCGTGTGTAAGATTATGATCTTCTTCCTTCAAATACGAGCTCATAACACTCATCCTTTTTTTCTTAAGCTAATTTCTCAAATAAACTCGCGGAAATTTGTTTTCCATAGTTTTCCTCAAAGTTTTTTTCTCCATTTTGCATGGTTGTTACAGAAATTTGCACTGTTACTGAAAATTTCACTGATATAAACATTTGGGTAAAGTTGTCGAAATCAGCAACTTTCGTATAAGTTATAGAGGAAAGCTATAGAGATTTTGATCTGTTTTAGTTGTATTTTTAAGAAAAAGTCATGGATATATTAAATTCAAAAGTCAGTAAGTTATTTTGAAATCTCTCTAAAATATGCAATAAATGCAAGATAGAAATATTTTTAATTGAGCTTTTCTGAACTGAAGCGCGCACTATTTACAGTAGACACTTAACAATTATGAAACGATTGCGTTTACGAACATTTAGCGAAATATAAGTTAGGGTAATGAGAGAAAGTTATTCCAATTTATACTCAGTCCTGATAACGTATTTGTTAAAGTTTTTATGACACACTCCAGCGAAAAGTCGGCACTTAATGGACTAGCGTCATTCGCGCAAGGTTTCCAAAAACAGGTAACGATTTTAAATAACTTTGTCCGCTGGAAGGGTTTTTTAAATCAGATTTATAAAATATATTTGGTCAAAAAACACATTATTAACAATTATTGGATGAGGCTGAGCATGATATCAGGTATTATTCAGACCGAGGTCAAAGTTATCGGCCGAAAAAAGCTAATAATTGTTTAATGTCGTTGTACGTGACCAGACAGTGAGAATTGTTTTTAGGCTCTTAGCCAATCAAAATCTAGCTAGGACCAAATAATACATAATAATAGTAATATCAACCAATAATAATATCAATTAAAGGCTTATGCTGGGTTTGACGAAAAACAGTAGAAAACTGCAAATCACCAGGCATTTTTATGCTGTGGTTGATAGAAAAAAAACTACGTGGTTAAAAAACACTTTACTGCAGTAAGTTACGAAATATTACATGAAGGCAGTGTTTGAATCTATCTATATGTATAAAAAATGCAAGTTTGGAGGATATACGCAATTATTATATGTACATGTCAATTGATTCTCCATCAATTCACAAAATAAATTATTTCATGCTTCACGTTGTGTACAGTGACGGCATTCGTTCATCAGTTATTATTTTTTCAGGTACATGTTGCATTATATGGTATTGGAGTGAACGATACGTCATTTGAGAGTATTGAATATGGATCAGTGTTAACACTGGCTCGAAGATATGTAGATTTAATAAAAGAAATCCAGCCTGAAGGTCCATTTTATCTTGGTAAGAACTCATTATATGAATACTATATTGTCACCAACTGGAAAAAATTTAAAAAAAAGTTCACTATGGTGTCATTCAAGAGTGGTCTTTTAGTGAAAAATACCTTTCATGTATATCAGATACATCAGTTATAGTCAATGGATGTTTGCTCATGCCCATGATTTTTGAAACACATTTTCAGCTGGCCACTCGTTCAGCGGTTTGTTGGCTTACGAAATGGCAAGTGAACTGAAAAGAGATGGTGAAACTGTTGCGATGGTGTTCATGGTGGATACGTTCGCATGGCACCCTAAAGCACTGACAAACGGCAAAGAATTCATGAGAAAGATCACAGAGTTAACCTTGAAGTCAACGGAAAAATATGTGGTAAAGAAAAATATTAATTTTCCTATATTACTCAACCGGTAGCGTAGTACGGGGGAAATAGTTATTTTTATTCTTGTTTTTCAATTTGTTTCTATGTTTGGCAAAGTAGACTTTGTGTTTCGGAAACTTCCGTCAGATTTTCCGCTTTGAATTAATGTTGAGACTAGAAAAATTTTAAGTAAAATATTTAGCAGAACATCCTAAAATTGTTAACATGGGAAAACTTTGTTAATTAATATTTTTAATAAGTTATAATTTTTGCAAAATTTGACAATTCTGCCGACGATAGTCGATATACAATTTTTCAATCTTTTACAAACAAAATTTTTTCCAATTTTGCTAATTTGGGATGGTTTTTTTAATGTTCAACCCGGTAACGAATGGGTTTTTTTGTTTAAAAATTGAGTTTCATACTGGTTTTCTGTATACTTCGAGAATCCAAGCCCTAAATATATTTCTCGATTGGTTTCTTTATTTCAATTAATGAGTGCGTATGTTGTTTACTTAAGAATTAAAAAACGAGTCGCGTGCCTTTATGGTGTAATAATGCACGATGGGGAATGTTGGGAGAATACGAGAGAAGCTTTTATTTCTTTTATAATATAAGAAGAAATTATAGGGCAACAACAAAATTTATTTTTTTGATCAATAATGAAATTCTCCTTACATGTCATTTAAGATGTTGCTTAGCAACAAAAACTTCAAAAGCCAGAAGCGTGCATTATGGCCTCACAATGCACGCGCAGTAGCCAATCAAATTGCTCGTTATATCATACTTATATTATATTTACTCAGGATGAGTGAGTTTTGAACACTACAAGAAATATTTGTAAACCAATGATTTACCTTGGTCAAAAAAAATGAATAGATAACCACTTCAATTTTTTGTTTTTTCTCCGTCATAAATAATTACGCACGATTGGGCTAACAGAAAATGCTCATACATGTTACGTTGTATAAATTCCTTCTCAGACAAGACGACTGCTCGAAAAATTGCCTTCGTCGAAATGGGTAAAAGTGAACATGACGTCAATGATTATTACGAGGAATTACAAGATCAGGAAAAGGTTATCGCTGTTTTGGAGAGTGAAGCTGCTGAAAAGAATATTGATCTTCGTTTGAAAGACAGAATTGAGACTACTAAGTACGAAGTCAAATCTGCTGCTGAAGGTCATTTAGATTGGCAGCCTTCTAAGGTATATTACATTCACTTTATTATGGTATTTTATTCACTAGGAGGAATTGCTCGGCACTTACATGGCAGCGACCGCTCTTCTTGTCTTTTGGCAATAATTAATAAATACTGAAGAGTGTGTACCGAAGGGACCGATGAATTATAATTTCTTTATTTTAAGGTATCCTATGACGGGGTATTGACATTCGTTTGCTGTGACGAGACTAAGTCGTTCTCCCTAAGCAAGCCAGAGATATGGAAAACGTTAGTTGAGAGAATAGATTTCCTTTACGCGCCTGGAAGTCATCTAAAAGTACGAGATGGAATTAGTGGAGAAAATTGTGGATCCATGATAATGACAACAGCAGCAATGAGCTATCTTTCAAAATCTCAACACCACAATTTCCTGGCTGTAAGAACAAGACGTCAAGAGAAATTGGTGGAATTTCTAAAGCAAGGAATACAAATCTGGATGCTTTCAAGTAAACAAAATATTGCTATAGCGTAACGTGCTTCAGAAGAAATATAGTTGCGAGAGCATCGGCATTAAAGCTGGGGAATCCTATTCTTAATTATAGCCCCATATTTAAACAATTTTTAAAGAGCCTTTTGTTCGGTCACATTTAGCGTGACTTCGAGCCTTGGGCTGAAAAATGGTAACTTGATGATAGCTTGACTTGGATTTTTGCACAACTTTTACACCCTTAAAATTCAAAAAATTTATGCTAGGGAAAATTTTTAAATGCCGCACATCGTTAATCGTTAATTTATTTGTTGTGTATGTAGGTTTCTCAAAATGGGTGAAAGGCACTCTCCAGTTAAATTCGGAAGAAACAGAGTTTAATTTTGAATATAAATTGTTAGGATTTTATACAGTACGAAATTTTTTTGTCAAAGGTAAGCCCCAGATTACAAATAACAACCCTAAATAAATAGACTCCTTTTGAGTCAATATAAACTTTTCATCTGAGTGAGAAAAAATATTAGTCTATCTTGAAAATTGTCGATAAAAGTAGAGGTCGGGTTTCGGTTCATTAAAATACAGCTGCAGTGTCAAAAAGAACGACATAGTCGAGGGCCGGGTGTCATTGCGTTCATGGGATAGCGCCCCAACCCCCCACCACACACTGTATAGCTTGAAAATCCCAAGATGTTCCTCTTTTATCCGCAAAGTAACCCTCCTTTGAGGCTTCAATTATGCCCTCTTTGCGGCGTTCATTATTATGTGTAGTAATAATTGATCAAAGACTTTTTTTAATGCTGTCCTGTTACCCTCATTAGATCAGAACATGAACAAAAGGCAATGTTTAGGTTAATAAAGTATTGCATGCATATTCATATGATTACTTTACTTTTTAAGATTTGACAAACATCATGCCTGGTAGGCATGTTGATGAAATCCGTAAGCGCCATGGCAACAATCCTTTCACTGATTTCCTCACTTGTATGCTGACCAAAAACGGCAGCCTTTGGACGTTTCGTTCGTTAGATTTTCAGCGGCTCAAAATGCTGGTAGATGCTTTGGAAGCTCTTTTTGGAATACCGTTCGTGCAGTGACGGGGACTATAAAGGATAAGTTCAATCATTATAATTTCATATATAAGGTTAATAAGCAGTGTGTTGTTTACCATTGGCATTTTTATTAAAATAACTCATACGCATGGATTTATTGCAATGTAGTTTACAAAGTCTAGGAACTTATTAAGGAACTTAATTGCTCTAGGCAAAGTAAGATAAATCTTAGTAAAGCGTAGGATATAAATCCATGCAACCTATATTACAAAATTACTTTTTTATATATCGCAAACAATATTATTTTCTCTGCGTAACGTAGCTGCCATTGAGATTTGTTCTTAATAAAACTCTAAACTTTATAATGCTTACTGCTGTATAGGGTTTTTCATGTTTTGGAACAGGTGCTTTCAAGTTACGACCGTTTTCAAAAATCATTTGTACGAACATTTGAAGCGTTTATACGCCAACTAACCAACGGTTACGCAGTTCCTAGTCCCTATAGTACGATCGTACTTGTTGAACAATTGAACTTCTATACTGCGATGTGCTTCTGAATTTTGCGATCGAACATTTAGGTTCGCAGGGCATCTAAATGCGAATATGTTTGCGAAACAATACGCGAATTGTATTGTTTATGTTCAAAAGCTCTATATTGAAGACTGGCACGTTAACGAGTTAACGCCAGAACGGCGTCTTGTTACTTATCAATCTTTATACACGGGATAAAAACATCAGTGTTTACAGGTATATACAACTGATATAACATGCAACTCTGCTATCCTTGTTTGTCCTGTTTCAGACTGAGAATAAGAACAAATTATCTATCGTAATTCTCTCTACTCTGGTTTTAGTAAATGAAAGTAATCACCACACAAAGATTAACTTTCACGACCCAACGTTTCGACACGCCGGTCTAGTGTCTTCATCAGGGGTGATCTGATGTTGAAACTCGGTTCCTTATGTATTCTAAAAATGACGTCATCTATTAATCAGATGTAAATATTCTTTTGGCAAATAGCTTCCGTCATCCCTATTAAGGGCACAAAGACTCGAATTAATATGCCAGGCTTCCAAACAACGCCTTTGTCCATAACGATCATTAGTGGTAATGACTTTTGAATCGTTCCACCCAATGTTATGGTTAGTTTGACACACGTGTTCCGGCAAGGCTGATTTTGAACTGTCTAAGTTCGAAACGGCCTTTTGATGTTCTTTTAAACGTGTGCCGAACTGGCGTTTTGTTTGACCTAGATATTCTTTCTCGCAATCACCACATGGTATAGGGTATACAGCATGAGTTTTCTGTTTAGTCGCTACGCGATCCTTGGGTTTCGCGAAAATATGTCCCAATGTCTGAAAGGGTTTTAAGGCAACTTTTATACCACAATTATTCAGGATCCTTCTGATTGGTTCTTGGAGGAGGATCCTGAATAATTGTGGTATAAAAGTTGCCTTAAAACCTTTTCAGACATTGGGACATATTTTCGCGAAACCCAAGGATCGCGTAGCGACTAAACAGAAAACTCATGCTTTATACTCTATAACATGTGGTGATTGCGAGAAAGAATATCTAGGTCAAACAAAACGCCAGTTCGGCACACGTTTAAAAGAACATCAAAAGGCCGTTTCGAACTTAGACAGTTCAAAATCAGCCTTGGCGGAACACGTGTGTCAAACTAACCATAACATTGGGTGGAACGATTCAAAAGTCATTACCACTAATGATCGTTATGGACAAAGGCGTTGTTTGGAAGCCTGGCATATTAATGCGAGTCTTTGTGCCCTTAATAGGGATGACGGAAGCTATTTGTTAAAAGAATATTTACATCTGATTAATAGATGACGTCATTTTGAGAGTACATAAGGAACCGAGTTTCAACATCAGATCACCCCTGATGAAGACACTAGACCGGCGTGTCGAAACGTTGGGTCGTGAAAGTTAATCTTTGTGTGGTGATTACTTTCATTTACTAAAACCAGAGTAGCGAGAATTACGATGGATTATATACCTGGTTGCCGTGAACTCACAAATTATCTAGTTATAATAAGTACAAGTAATATGAGAAGCTCCCTAAAAAGTTAAAAATCTATACTAGCTAAAAGTTAAGATTGAAAGTGGTCACAGATAAGTGACCTAAACTCTGTAAATTTTTTTGCCAACCTAATTTCTATTGGGAGACTGTTAAAAATATTTTCTCCAGCAAAGCGAAAGCTTTGTTTTGCAACTTCAAGTTTTACCACAGGGTGCCCGCCTCAGCGTTTGTTATTAAAATATCGCTGTAAAAACTAATGCTGCAAAAATGACAAGAAACGACTTGCCGTTGAATTTAAAAATATATTCGACGAGAAAAATAACTTTCAGTTGAATTTAAAAAGTAAATTCCGAGGTAAATTTGACAACAGTCTACAGAATTGCATAAGAAAAATAAAGGCACTTTGTTATAAACGTACATGAAGTACTTCAGCGTGGAGCCTTAAGCACTGATGTGTTCGACCGCGGGTGCAACAATTATAGGGAGAGAGAGGAAAATAATAAAGGGATGAAACATCAGAATTTGCTTTGTTTCAATGCCTTTTAAAATACATTAAAGGTGGTTGTCCACAACTTTTTTTTTTCTTAGGGGAGATGACTTTTGTTTATTGCATATTGTTATTGCACTTAGGGATAGCTACTGAAAAATGTAACTCATACACACTCAGTTGCTATGGCAACCAGGTAATTGGCCCCCAACAGTGATTTCGGAGCCTTTGTGCCAAAAAGGATTGCAGCAAAACTATTAGCTAAAACATTAAAATTTCTTCACTATTTTGACAAGTATAGCCTAAACTATGCTTTGACCTACTATAATCTTACAAGAGTCATTCATTAGTGATCTCTCACTGGTAAATTATTGCACGGCAATATATAAATAGTGCTGCATCAAGGATGTCACTCTGGATACATTACCCCTAAACACCAGGTAATAAGTCAAAGCACAGTTTAGATCAACAAGAGTATACCCTGAAAATTTCAAGGCAATATCTCAAATACTTTTTGAGATATTGTTTTTCCCGTATGCTAAATGCCGTTCTGAGAAAACAAAGTTAAAAGTTTAATTAGGGTAAGCGTCTTCTAAAAATCCAGTCAATTTAGGGTTTATACCCAATATAAAAGCTAAAAACCCCCTGGCAGGTAAGTGTCTCCCTCTTTTTCTTTATTTTTGTCACTTTTGTGCTTTCTTCTCCCCCTTAGTACCTTCCGCCTCATCTTCGTTTTATCACCCTCCTTCAGATTTGCTGACTTGACCCGTCTGACGTCCCTCTCATGACATGCTTCTTCACAGTACTTTCCAGGTGTGATGTGCAGTTGCTTAAGAACTTTAAAGTGAGCAACAGCATCATACACAGCTAAGGAAATCACTTGGCTACCAACAAAAACCTGTTTTGGTACACGTTCCCATATCATCGCATTTAAGGATTCATTCCGATTCTGGGTTTTTCCATGGAGACAACGTTCCAAAAGGCTGGGCTCACTTAACCTGGCAAATATGGGCTTAACCTCTGCGATAACATCCTTTGGAAGACCTTTGCCAGGCTTATAATCTTTTGTCCCGCAAGCCACGTCCCTCTTGAAACCACACCAACTCTCTTTTCCATCGGGACAGTGAATGTGATAGTTATGATTCGCTGATGAGGCACAATGAAATAGGGTGGCGTGGATTGCCTTTTTCATTGCATCTAAGTTCCCACTGTTCCTTCGAATTGCGATGCCAAAGTAGTTTTGGAGCTTATCGATCATGACATCCGTAAGCCGACCTTTCCCACCCAAGCCTTTTTTTCTTTCTTCAGTTTACGAAGGGCTGTGCCGACTCTTTTTTGTACGTGGCCAACACATTCTTGCTTTACAACTGTTACACTGTCTTGACTGTAGGTGTCCTTCACAGCAGGAAAGCTTTTGCTATCGCCATCCCCATAAAATTCATTATAACGAAGGCTGTTTTTCTCCTTGGAACGTTGAAACATCCTCTTCGCGCCTTCAGGTTCCATCGCTGGAGCAGAGCCTTTGTAGTTGACTGGACATTTCAATGCATGGTCAGCTTTCCCAGCAAGGTGCTCCAGACTATTTTGGTCATCCCCTTCATGCTTTTGACATATCTTGCAAACTTTACTTAGAGGCTCAACATCCAGGACTTTGCCGGTATCCATAAATATAGCCGTTACACAACCATTTAATGATTGGAAGCCTCGTCGTTGCCATGTTCCGTCACAGGAGACTCCACAGTCAGCTGTGCCGTCAGCATCAGTTCCTTTCAAGTTTGCTATTTCTTTAGCAGCGGCAGACATTGTCTCAGAGGCAACTTGTTTTGCAGCAAGTAGAAGAGATT